AATGTTTCTGTATTCATAAATTTCATTATAATTGTATTCAATTAAAAATATATAGCAAGTTTAGATTAGACTAATTGTGATAAATGTGTGATAAAAACGATGTGATAAAAAAGTAATATAGATAAATTCTTATCAATGTTATATTTCGATAGAATAATTTTTTTTACAAGTCCTTTAAACGATTGTTTCTTTTCATATAATTCATACGAAATAAAAATTATAATATTTATATATATAAATTTGTTGAAATATAAATTAATTATAGTTCTATAATAAATATAAATTGAAATATAAATTAATATAATATAATTCTACAATAAATATAAATTACATAATAAAATTACTATATACTAGAACAAAATACGTATATGAAAATGTATATTAAATTACATTTTCTTATCTTTTTTATTGAAGTTAAATTAAAATAAAAATAAAATATTTATAGTTTTTATTAATAGAATACACATCGTATGATTTGAAATATTTATTACATGTTACGTATAATAAATATGTGCACAAATCGTATTGGTTTTAATAAAATAAGTAAATCGATACTTTCATGATATTTTATCATACTTGGATATTAGAGTAAGAAATGACATGCTGGTAAACTATGTCGATATTTCTTTTTTTGCAAATCTCTATTGCAAATCTTTCGTTCTTATCTTTATTCATTTTGATTCCTATTTATTCGACAAAAATTAAATAAATTTAACAAGCGTACTCAGTTTGTGACACAAATATATCGTGTCATTATATCAGTTTGCATCATAGAATTATAAATAAATATTATTCATTCGGTGTAAAACTGTTTTAAGGTCAATTGTTAATCAAATAGAAAATGTAAACATGTAGCATATTAAAATATATATATTGGATATTGTAGTAAACTTTCATGGAACACAAGAAGTTCACTAACTTTTAATGCTAAAAATCTATATTTGAATTATATTGTTTAAAATTATTAAAATTCAAATCTTTTAATCTTTATTGTAAAAACAGTAAATGGAAACTTTCTTTGAAAGATATCGCACTACAAAGGAAAGGTCCTTCTGAAGTTTTATTATTTAAATTCAAAATATCTGTAATCAGTTAGCCGGACTATGGGCGATTTTGTATAAGAAAATAATTCGTAAAATGAAATAATAACATTTTTTTACTTAAGACTTCGTTTTTGACAAAATCAAATTTACAAATTTGACAAATATACTTGAATTTGGTTAATTCTAGACTAAATAATGGTGAAAGAATCATTTTTATCGTTTGAAACTGTTTCCAAGAAAATGAACTATAAACATATTTAATAAAAAATTGGTGCATAAATTACATGATAGTACATAAATTTCACAAATTTAATTTAGTGGGAAATAAAGTTCTTATAAAAAAATTTATTCTACGTTTTTAATTTATTTTCATATGTAGATCAATTTATTGTTAGATTTTTCTCCAGTCCCGAATTAAATCAAATTCAAATAATTAATACATTTTCAAACGAGTGAATTAAGTGAAAAATTGTTATTTTTTTTTTATTTATTTTTATAATATATTACAAAATTATTCGCAACAATTGTACTTTTAAATAGAGGATTCCACATATTGTAAAAATATATACAAAATTTATAATTAATAAGTTATGTTAAAAATTTTAATTCTCAAAATTAAAAATTTGCTTGAAACATATATGTAAATTCTATTACTAGAATTTGTTGTTTGAAAAGTTATCCAAAAAGTGTATTAAATACTTACAACTTGTACTAACTCCAGCTCATACTGTGCTTCTGTCCAGTGCAAGAATAGATTTAAAAACAAAAATACTTGAACACAAATCATTTCTTACGTGATACAGAATTGATTTTAAAAATCAATTAAAATACAATTTAGGAAGAATATTAGTTTGTTTTTATGTAGAAATTAAAATGGAACGGAGCAGTTGCTTGTGCAAAAGATACTATCTTCTTTACCGCAAACACAATTAATTTTATATCTTACCGTATGCCTTGGACCACTACCTGTTATAATCTGATAAATTAATACTGACGCACTTACCCGATTATAGATTAAAGATATTTCTATATCTCAAGTGATGGTATATCTGAATATAATTAAAAAGAAATGTTTCAAGAATTGCGTAATTATATATTACATAGGGTATATAAATAAATGAACAAAATAATATTACACGATCGTAATTAGATTGTAAATTTTGATGCATATCTTTCTGAAAATAACTTTAAGAAACTAAAATTAAAATAAAATTAACTAAATGAAATAAAATAAAAAAATTAAAAAAATTTATATTTTTATGAAAATGAGGAAATAATAAAAATAAATAATTTTTATGAAAATAATATAAAATAAAAATGAGATCTAAATAGAAATTTATTTCATATATTAAATATTATAATAAATATTCTATTTTAGATTTTTTTTTTTTGCATTATATATTATCACCGAGGAGATAGTCGAATAGGCCAAGCATCTTCCGAGGTTTGTGACTTGAAATACCGACATTGTAAAAAAATTACTGGTTTTTTGGCGTATTCCACGTTTAAACAACGGTGAGTTGGGGAACTAGTGACTGCGCTAGCAATTTTTGAGATCTATTATATTATACAGTTGTCAAACATTCAAT